GCTTGGTTAGTGTTTTTGGAGTCAAATATGACTAGATCGCGTGTTTATGATTAGGTATAAGAACTTGAAACGCAACCGGATCCCGTAAGCTAAAGTAGTGTTTTTGCGTTTAGAAGCTCGAAACCCGAAAACGCATAGGACTTCGGCCACACCCACAAAGATTTGAGAAGCAATAAGAAGCTTGGTTACTGCTTTTGTAGTCAAATATGACTAGATCTCGTGTTTATGATTGGGTATAAGAACTAGAACCGCAACAAGATCCCAAAAGCTAAAGTAGTGTTTTTCCGTTTAGAAGCTCCAAAACCGAAAACTCATAGGAATTTGGCAACACCCACAAAGATTTGAGAGGCAATAAGAAGCTTGGTAAGTGTTTTTGGAGTCAAATATGACTAGATCTCGTGTTTATGATTGGGTATAAGAACTAGAAACGCAACCGCATCCCGTAAGCTAAAGTAGTGTTTTTTCGTTTAGAAGCTCCAAAACCGAAAACTCATAGGACTTCGGCCACACCCACAAAGATTTTAGAAGCAATAAGAAGCTTGATTAGTGTTTTGGGAGTCAAATATGACTAGATCTCGTGTTTATGATTGGTTATAAGAACTAGAACCGCAACCGGATCCCAAAAGCTAAAGTAGTGTTTTTCCGTTTAAGTTTCTTTTGACTATATTAATAGTCAAAATCTACTGTGTTTGTTACAGAGAATCTTAGAATTCGTTATTTAGTAGTGTACTTTTGGGAAATCTATGTTTTGAGGATTGTCTTCTTAGTGAAATCTTTAGGTTAAAAGCAAGTAAATTGATTTCTTCAAATCAGCATATATTTTGAATCTGTAGCTGGTAAATGGTTTTATTTACATTTTACATTCTATGTTTCTCAGAAGAATTACATGTTTGGAACAGTTCAACGTGATGAGGTTTCTTCCCTCTTGTAATGGATGAGTTCAAGAAGCTATATGATGTTACGGTGAGGTCATTGCGATAGAACTGCAGAGAAATCTGTGAGATAAGTTCGGTAGTTCAGGTTACCGTTTTTTCATGTTATTTATTCTTGTTATAGGCTTATAGCATGCAAGGCCTTTGTATCACTTTGTGCTCTGATGTCGATAGCATTGTATGACTTTCTCTAGTAGTTAGCATATGTGTATAAACTCACCAGCAGGAAACAGTATTTTAGCCATAGCTTGCAACGTTAGCTTGTGTTTACTTCTCAGAAATACAGGCATATTCAAATAGACAATTTCTCATAGTGTATATACATATAGATAGATTGTTAATATTTCTTGAATCATAGAGACTTCATTGTTAGAAAGATGGTTGGCCATGGTATATTCGGTTTTAGCTCCTAGTGACCTTGGATTCCGGTTTGTGCTATTTAGTTGAAACAAGTACTCTGTGAATCCGAGAAATTTTTGCAGGGATGCTTTCAGTTACACATATGCCAAGTAGCATTTATTTTTCAATCCTTACTAGTTTTAGCTTCTTTACAAGTTTCATTTGATTATATTAATAGTCGAAATCTGTTGTGTTTGTTACAGAGAATCTTAGAATTCGTTATTTGGTAGTGAACTTTTGGGAAATCTATGTTCTGAGGATTGTCTACTTTGTGAAATCTCTAGGTTAAAAGTAAGTAAACTAATTCCTTTCAAATCAGCATATATTTTGAATCTATTGGTCGTAAATGGTTTTGTTTTCATTTTACATTCCATGTTTTTCAGCGGAATTACATGTTTGGAACAGTTCAACGCGATGCAGCTTTTTCCCTCTTGTAATGGATGAGTTCAAGAAGCCATATGATGTTACGGTGAGGCCATGCATTGCGACTGAACTGCAGGGAAATCTGTGAGATAAGTTCAGTAGTTTAGGTTACCATTTTTTCTTGCTATTTACTCCTATTATAGGCTTATAGCATGCAAGTCCTGTGTATCACTTTGTGCTCTAATGTCCATAGCATGGTATGACTTTCTCTAGTACTTAGCTAATGTCTACAAGATCACCAGCAGGAAACAGTATTTTAGCTATAGCTTGAAACGTTAGCTTGTGTTTACTTCTCCGATATACATGCATATTCAAATAGACTATTTTTCATAGTGTCTATACATATAGATAGATAGTTAATATTTCTTGAATGTTAGAGTCTTCATTGTTAGAAAGATGGTTAGCCGTGATATATTCAGTTTTAGCTCCTAGTAACCTCAGATTCTGGTTTGCACTATCTAGTTGAAAGAAGTACTCTGTGAATTCGTGAAAGAGCTTACTGTTACACATACGCCAAGTAGCATTTATTTTCCAATCCTTACTAGTTTAAGTTTCTTTTGACTATATTATTAGTCGAAATCTACTGTGTTTGTTACAGAGAATCTTAGAATTCGTTATTTGGTAGTGAACTTTTGGGAAATCTATGTTTTGAGGATTGTCTTCTTAGTGAAATCTTTAGGTTAAAAGCAAGTAAATTTAGTTGTTTCAAATCAGCATATATTTTCAATCTGTAGCTGGTAAATGGTTTTGTTTTCATTTTAAATTCTATGTTTCTCAGAAGAATTACAAGTTTGGAACAGTTCAACGCAATGCGGCTTCTTCCCTCTTGTAATGGATGAGTTCAAGAAGCTATATGATGTTACGGTGAGGTCATTGCGACCGAACCGCAGAGAAATCTGTGAGATAAGTTCAGTAGTTCAGGTTACCGTTTTTTCTTGCTATTTATTCTTGTTATAGGCTTATAGCATGCAAGTCCTGTGTATCACTTTGTGCTCTGATGTCCATAGCATGGTATGACTTTCTCTAGTAGCTAGCTTATGTCTATAAGCTCACATGCAGGAAACAGTATTTTAGCCATAGCTTGAAACGTTAGCTTCTGTTTACTTCTCAGAAATACAGGCATATTCAAATAGACAATTTCTCACAGTGTCTATACATATAGATAGATAGTTAATATTTCTTGAATCATAGAGACTTCATTGTTAGAAAGATGGTTGGCCGTGGTATATTCCGTTTTAGCTCCAAGTTGCTTTTGACTATATTAATAGTCGAAATCTACTGTGTTTGTTACAGAGAATCTTAAATCCGTTATTTGGTTGTGAACTTTTGGGAAATCTATGTTCTGAGGATTGTCTTCTTAGTGAATTCTTTAGGTTAAAAGCAAGTAAATTGATTTCTTTCAAATCAGCATATATTTTGAATCTATAGGTAGTAAATGGTTTTGTTTTCATTTTACATTCTATGTTTCTCAGAAGAATTACATGTTTGGAACAGTTCAACGCGATGCGGCTTCTTCCCTCTTGTAATGGATGAGTTCAAGAAGCTATATGATGTTACGGTGAGGTCATTGCGACTGAACTGCAGAAAAATCTCTGAGATAAGTTCAGTAGTTCAGGTTATCGTTTTTTCTTGCTGTTTATTCATGTTATAGGCTTATAGCATGCAAGGCCTGTGTATCACTTTGTGCTCTGATGTCCATAGCATGGTATGAGTTTCTCTAGTAGTTAGCTTATGTCTATAAGCTCAACAGCAGGAAACAGTATTTTAGCCCTAGCTTGAAACGTTAGCTTGTGTTTACTTCTCAGATATACAGGCATATTCAAACAAATAACTTCTCTTAATGTCTATACATATAGATAGATAGTTAATATTTCTTGAATCATAGAGACTTCATTGTTCGAAAGATGGTTGGCCGTGATATATTCGGTTTTAGCACCTAGTAACCTCGGATTCCGGTTTGCGCTATCTAGTTGAAACAAGTACTCTGTGAATCCGTGAAGGATTTGCAGGGATGCTTACAGTTACACATACGCCAGGTAGCATTTATTTTTCAATCCTTACTAGTTTAAGTTTCTTTTGGCTATATTAATAGTCGAAATTTGCAGTATTTGTTACAGAGAATCTTAGAATTCGTTATTTGGTAGTGATTTTTTGGGAAATCTATGTTCTGAGGATTGTCTTCCTAGTGAAATCTATAGGTTAAAAGCAAGTAAATTGATTTCTTTCAAATCAGCATATATTTTGAATCTATTGGTGGTAAATTGTTTTGTTTTCATTTTACATTCTATGTTTCTCAAAGAAATTTCATGTTTGGAACAGTGCAACGCGATGCAGCTTCTTCCCTCTTGTAATGGATGAGTTCAAGAAGCTATATGATGTTACGGTGAGGTCATTGCGACAGAACTGCAGAAAAATCTGTGAGATAAGTTCAGTAGTTCAGGTTACCGTTTTTTCTTGCTATTTATTCTTGTTATAGGCTTATAGCATGCAAGTCCTTTGTCTCACTTTCTGCTCTGATGTCCATAGTATGGTATGACTTTCTCTAGTAGTCTATATAAGCTCACCAGCAGAAAATAGTATTTTAGCCATAGCTTGAAACGTTAGCTTGTGTTTACTTCTCAGATATACAAGCATATTCAAATAGACAATTTCTCGTAGCGTCTATACATAAAGATAGATAGTCAATATTTCTTAAATCAAAGAGACTTCATTGTTAGAAAGATGGTTGGCCATGAAATATTCGGTTTTAGCTCCTAGTAACCTCGGATTCCGGTTTGCGCTATCTAGTTAAAACAAGTACTCTGTGAATCCGTGAAAGATTTGCAAGGATGCTTTCAGTTACACATACGTCAAGTAGCATTTTTTTTTTTTCTTTACTAGTTTTAGCTTCTTTACAAGTTTCTTTTGACTATACTAATAGTCGAAATCCGATTGATTTGTCTAGTTTAGAGAGGTTAACCAACAAAGGACTGATGTTATCTTATTGAGAATCTGAAAATTCAGATTTGGTAGCTATCCTTAGGGAAACCATGTGTGTTTGATTTGAATTGTAGACAACAATATTTTCATTGCATAGGTAGGAAGATTGTCTTCTTGGTGAGTCTTTAGGTTTGCAGCCATAATTGCTGTCCTAGCAAGTAAAGTAAACCGATAACTTTGTGTATCTTTTAAAACGAGTCATGTATCGTTCAGAAACTACTTGTTAAAGCTTGAACATGTTTTAAGACTATGGTAGTGTAATGGTGGAAATTTTGAATCTATTGATTTTAAATGGTTTCCTTTTCATTTACAGCGCATATAGGTACATATTATACGAGGACATACAAGTCCAGAATAGTTCAAAACCAGATGCACATATTTCCCTCTTGTAATGGATGGGTTCAAGAAGCTAAAGGATGTTATAGTGAGGCCACTGAGACTGAACTGCAGGAAGATTGAGAGATAACTTTAGTTTAGCCAAGGTTACTGTCTTTTCCTACTAAGTATTTTTGTTATAGCATGCAAGTCCTGCTTATCGCTATGCGCTCGGTAGGACTTTCTCTAGTCGTTATGTATGTTTAGCTTGAGTTTATTTCTGAGATATACATGCATATTCAATTAGACAATTTCTCATAGCGTCTATACATATAGATAGTCACAATTTTTATTTCTTGAATCATAAAGGCTCCACTGTCAGAAAGATAGTTGCCCATAGAATATTTAGTTTTAGCTCCTGGTACCTCGAGGATTCTGGTTTGTTGTTTCTTCTGGACTAACTCTTTGGTATCGTGCTCTAAAGGGCCAAATGTTCCAAAGCTGTATCCACCTTGGGCGCCTTCTTTCAGGTATGTCTTGTCTAGTAGGATTTCTCCTTTCTCGAGAATCAGCAACGGTGTTGACAGGTGGCAGGTCACTGCGACAGATAGGGCAAGAATTGTGAAGCCTGAGCCACGGGATTATACAATCTTTATGGTAAATATGTTTACATGGTAGTTCCATTGCATCTCCACCAACAATGAATTCTTCCATGCACACTATGCATTGGGTCATGTCGTTGGTTAGATGTTGTGGTGTTATCTTCACAGATGGTAGCGCTTCAATGGTGGGTTCTGATGCAGGCAGTGGTCCAGGCCTATCGTCTTGTGTTAGTTGTTCAATCAGCTGCTCTAAGCCTGATGCTCCGGTAAAGAAATCGTTTGAGTTCACATGCCAGGGTGGTGCTTGATTTGGTGGCGGAATTACGTTTCCGAGTTCTCTAGTCCGATTATTGGGTCGGAAAATTACATATGTTCTTCTTGGTAGAGGCAAACCACCATTGTTAACATTGTCAAGGCTGTGGCGTCGTCGATGTTGTGGTCGGGGTCTTGATTCAGGTTCAAAGATGTTTCTGGATCTTGCCCTAAGAAATGGGTCTGCACCAAATCCACCTATGATTGCAGGCTCAAACATGAGCGATAGAGCTTCGAGAAGACGAGCCTCAGGAGAAGCATCAAAAGGCGGAGCAGCATGATTGAGAGTAAACGGAGGCCGTCTTGTTTCAATCTCGACGACAAATTGTCTCAAGCATCGAGGGCACGCGATCTCTGATGGGTTAGAGGATGCAATTCTGACCATACGATTACAATGGTAGCACCAGTAGAGACCAAAAGTCCTAAATGATCCATTGGGTGCACCATCGGTCCGTGTTATGGGCCGACTCAATGACATTGTTGGAAGGAATTGTTATATACAAGACATACAAACATTTACATATATATATATAGATCATGTTGAGGGTTGCATGAGGCAATTGAACAAGGCAGATTCTTTTCAAATAGAGATCTTGTTTTCTTGGAGGCAAAGCATGAGATGGATGAAGACGCAATGCTCATTTCTTCTAGTTTTCTATGCTTTTAAGATTGCCTCTAGATGAAGGCTAGAATCATTTCTCAGATCCATATATTTTTAAGCCCGTTAAAGAATATTGTGCTTACTGATTAATTACGGTAGTGGAGGAAACAATCATCAAGCAAGTAAAACGTTGTCATTATGTTTTCCTCATTTTCAATTTTAGGTCAAATATTGTTGTCTATATATTTGGTCGTTGATGTGTTTTGTGTTAGGAAAATTATATTGTTTGAATTAAAAGCTATCTTCATAACTGACCTCATAAATATTGTGGAAATTACAAACTTTTTGTTATTGACAAAAGAAGTCAATGGTACGGCGACGACATTACATTATTAAATTTTTTAAAAAAAGAGACTTCTTTTAGGTGAGGGAACGAGAAAGTCAAAAGAAGAAGTCAGGGTTAGTTGGCTTAAGTTTTTTTCTAATAACTCAGGGTTATGTAATTCAATAACAAAAATATATACATACGTGTCTCACTAGACTCTTTAAGATTTCAAGTTTTGGTTAAGAATTTTGTATCAAAGAGATAGTTAATCTAAATCATGAAATCAATTTAATACCATGATTGATATGTTTTTATTCTGCCAATGTGTAACAACGGCTTAAAACGATAAACCACGAAAAACAAAAAGAGCTAGAGCTAGCAACTTTAATTCGGTTATGGAAGAAAATCTAGTTATAAGATTTGGGTTACATAAAACGTTATGTTATATGATACAACATGTATGTAATATTTTAGTCTAAAATAAAATTTTAGACCATTGGCCAAGTTGTGAAGATAGAAAAAATAAACCTTTACTTTGGTCAAGTTTGAAAGCTAATTGACCAATTCTAAACCTGACATTGACTTTTGAAAATAGCTTTATCTAGTAACTAATATGGAAGCATGATTTGGTTCAAATTGGTTTGTTTCGCGATCGTTTCCTATGTGAGAAAATATTATTCGATTGGACATGTGGGAGTTAATTCCATCAGTATCCTTTCTGTGGTAATCTCGAATTTTACAATTGTCAAATTATCTTACTATATGTTAGTGATGCTTCTTCTGACAGATTTCAATATCTAACATAATCTACTATACAAAAGAATAATGTCTCTTTCAATTTTATCCATTAATATTAGATATTGAACACAATAGTTTTCTTCAAAACAATTTTCCAACTAGCCAATTTTTGTAGATTTATCTTCCATCTGCGAAAAAATACAAATCAATCAATACGCAATATAACTCTTATACGTATTTTTTACTTTATTTTAATGTTTTTAAAAAAATAAGAGGTAGTATCTTATTCTTATTATGTACAACTTGTAACTTATAAATCATTTTACCAAATTTTCACCACAAATAATTTTAATTCCTTCAAATTTGATTAGTTTTGTTTACTTTGTTGTTAATCTTCAAAAGTTATCTGTGAAGTATGTAAATATTTATTCTTTTGGTCGAATTTGAATTAGCTACAATCTTGTTGGACGGAGAAACTAACTAAACAAGTTGTTCTTTTTCCTTTTTTGAATTCAATCAAACAAGTTGTTCACTGTCTCTATTTTAGGTCCCTATGAATGAGCATAAACTTGACTGAGTCTTTTTTAGGGATTGAGGACAGAAATATGAAACAACGACTTAATCCACTCATAAAGTTTTTGTATCTATTTGACTTGTTTTAGATTTTAACAAAACCATATTTTGTACTAGTTTTGTGAACTTTTGTATAGATATCAATGTTAAAAAGTAAGAGAGACTAAATTTCAAGAGATATTAGATAGAGAGATCTAAGGATAAAATAAAAAGAGAGAATTTTATAATGAAAAAGGGGCAAAGACTTATTCCAATGTTAAATATCTTAAGATATAATTTGAATGTCCGAGAGGGAAGCCCGTGAAGGGGTTTAGTCAAAAGAGTGTAAATACCCCTCACAAAGAGTAGTCACTACTTTTCTTATTTTTGTGAGTTATTGCATGTGAAGTTGTTTCAAAGCCTAGGAAAGATTTAAGATTTGAAAGTACAATAAATAAAGCTAGAAAGAGAACCCCTCAAGTGATTGATGTATCTACAAATTTGAAAAAAAATACATATATGAGAAAGGCCAAAAGAGATAGTTAATAATTTATCATGTTAGGTTATCTTTGTGAATAAACTAATTAAGTAACTCAAATAAGAAAAAAATGTGGAACCGAAAAGCATGAGGAGGAAAGTAGGGGAGGCCATGAACCTTACATACATCCACCCACTTCTTCATGTGCTTTTTTAACATTTGATTCATATCTTTGTTTTTATACATTCTCTCTTTTCTGCTTATGAATTGTCATTTAACTAATTTTGGCCATTTGGCATCTCTCTCGAATCTTTCGTTTTCATTCTTTTTCATCGATCAACACCTTCTTGATTAATGTGTTGATGAAGAAAACGTCTTGAATTAGGAGTTCGATTGTTTTAAAACGCAACATTCGTTTTTTTTCTCATTGCAAAAAATAATACATAGTTTCAATTTTAAATCAAATACTATGAAATACTATACAATTTTATGTTATACGAAGGACGAACTTGGTAGGTGGGTTTAGTTTCTTTCGTTTTTCCTACGTGTAGTAAAACGAGACAATATAAGAAAGCACAAAATTTATAAGAATCAAAACATATATTCTTACACTAGCTCTAGATACGGTATCTCCAACGTTAGGGAGTGAATCAGTATTGAAGCAATTTCCTAATCAAGAGATTAAATCACTTTTTTTACCTTACCTCTAGATACATGCATGGAATTTTAAGAAGTGAATTGGTACCAAAGCAGCTCTAATCAAGATATTAGGATACCCCTTTTTAGCATGAGATAACTTGGGTAAGTTAATTTAACTTTTTTTGGAGTGGCTCGGCTACTCAATTTTAACCTTTTAAGTGTGCACACTAGTCTACACTATGTGATGAGTCCAGGTTTTCTTAGACTTAACTGACTTCAACCACTAGAACCTTTTGTTATTTGGTAACCCGGACATCTATAATGCAAACCCATGTTTTATAGACTTACTTTCAAGGTAAGTATCAAATTATGATTTACATGTCGGGTTAAGAAATTTGCGTCGTACGAGTTTAAACATGTCGCTATAAAATTGTTTAAATTAATGACATGCATCGCTACAAGATTCGTTTAAACTTGTGTAACTACATTTACATATATAATCCTTTTTCTTTTAACAACACGAATTTTTTATGACCGAAAATATAAATTAACACTATTTTCCATACTCATAAATACTCAAAGAACAATTAAAGTACAACCCTATATATATTATATATATACTGTACTTCTTTTTTAAAACATCTCTCTTTTATTTGCATGAAAACATTTTGGAATGGCTACATTTAATCTCATTTTTTTTAACTATCAAAGTTCAAAATTAATTGATAAAACGTTTCATACCCCTTAAAAAGAAAACACCAAGATTTGGTCCTAATGAGTCAGTCGCATTCTAGATCTGAATGTTGGTCTTATTCAAGAGTAAGAAAGAGATGAGTCAGTGACCGCATAATGGTCCCAAGATCTGTTTCTTATCTTATTCAGTTATGTTTATATGTCTGGCGATATTCTCTAAAGATGGGCGTGGAATAAGGATGTTCTCTCTTTTCGACAAGATCCAAAAACCCATCTTGTTCAATTACATAGTTGTACTTCTGTGTGTGGACCAGAAAACAAAGATAAGGATCAAGATCTCAACTCTCTTCTTCTATAATCCCAAAATATGTCAACAGATCTACTAACTTGTATCTCATTACTTTAAAGTTCACTGTTCCATTCTCTTCTCTTTACTTGAAATAGTAATTAATCCAGGAAAGTGGATCTAATTGTGCATTCATGAGTATATATACAAGTTACAAGGTGGTAAAAAGCAAAGTTAAGAGCTAACCTCCGACGAGCAAATACTCTTTGTTTGCAAGTCAGGGTGGATTTGAGAAGTTACACAAACTCCCAATAATAGCTACAATCAAGAGTGTTTAGACTGCTAATTCTCACGCCTCCAAGTCGCAAAGTGTACCATCGATTTGGTATTGAACTGCCTTTATAGCGGCTACTCTTGCAGCTGTTGCCGCTCTGTTTGCTGCCATTTCGGCTTTGTTCACTTTCTCATCCACTCGCCTCTGTTTTATCGTGTTCTCTGCTCTCTCCCTCGCAGCCTGCAACAAAGAAATACAATCATAAACCATTAAAAACACATCCTGAGGTTCATTTCAAACAAATCGAAAGAAGATATTTACCTGAACTGCTTTAAGAATAGAGCCTGTGAGAGGAGGAGCTACAGGGGTCTTAAGGTGTCCACTATCCCATTCGCCACATTTAGTGACGCTATTCCTAAATGTATACATTCCATAGCCTTGTTTACGACCCTCGTGCCAAGCCCCTTCGTAACAATGTCCATTCGCAAAGTGGTATACTCCAAACCCGTGCATTTTGTCTCCAAAATACTCACCCGAATACGTATCTCCATTTCTACATTCAAACAATCCACCTTTACCATAAGCAGCAGATACAAGAAAAAAAGTCAAAATACTTGCACTCTACCAAATAATGTAGACAAATTCCACCCAAATCACAAAATACATTTCTTAAAACAACATAACCATTAGATCACAAATAGATTTACAGAATTGTGATAAGTTAACAAAAGATTCCAACTTTAACCGTGAAACAATTAAGAACCAAAACCAGACAAGAGCTATACCTAAAATGGTAACTGAAAGTAAGAAAAAAGATTCTATCTTTGAGCATGACATAATCAAGAACCAAAACGATAAATCTAAAATGGTAACTGAAAGTTAAAAAAAGATTCCAACTTTGAGCTTGAAACAACCAAAAACCCAAATCAGAGAAAGAAATATACCTAAAATGGTAACGGCCAAGGCCATGTTTGACACCAAATTTGAACTCTCCAACGTAACAGCTACCATCAGCACATGTCTGAACACCAACACCATGACTCTGTCCGTTACACCATTCTCCAGAATAAGAATCTCCAGTGTAAAACCTGTAAACACCATGTCCATGTCTTGATCCTTGTTTATATTGTCCCTTGTACTTACTTCCTCTAGCCCAACTCTCAATCCCAAACCCATCGTATCTTCCATCAATCCAATCACCTTCATATTTACCTTTCATGAAGTAATAGTAAATTCCACTTCCATTACACTTACCTTTGTGAAACTCTCCTTCGTAGAAATCGCCATTACTGTAATACTCAACTGTTTCTCTAGGGAGTTTCTTGATGTGGGTTTCGGTTCTTGATTCGCCGATGAACCATTGAACCGGTTTTGATGAGTGGTTACGATTTGACCGTTGTTTAACCGTTGTGATGATTTGGTTGATTAGGGTTTTGTTCTTGGAGGCTAAGAAAAGCGTAACGGCGATGAAAATTAAAGCTATCAGAAGATTCTCTGAGGTGGGAATCTCCTCTCGACCTAAGTAGAAGAAGAAGAAGAGTAGAGAGAGAAGAAGCGTGATTGAGCTAAACCGGATTAAACCGGACCTGGTTTTACGAAGCGGTTTTCTTCTCGGTTTCTCTTCAGAAAGACTCTCTTCGTCCTCTGAGATAGAGGAAAGGCTATGAATTGATGATCGTACGGACGGCGATGAACGGAGAAGAGAAGACTTCGTCCTCGTCAGCATCGCCGGACTTTTCTGGCTATCCATTTTTTTTCACTTTTGAGCTCTACGATACCGCGAAATTCGAATCACCACCGTCTGTCTCGATTTCTCCGGCCACATCTCCGGCGTTGAACTCTGGTTTTTAATTTTTTTTTAAATACACAAAATTTTAAAAATTGAATCTTTATTTTGTTTAGGTGAAAAAAGGGAAAATTTTCAATTTTCGAAATGGTGGCGTTAGAGAAGAGTTCTAAGGAGGTGAAGCTTATTTATTGGACGAAATGTTTAATCATGACCGGTCAATTTTGGATCGAACGATTGATATAAGTTGATGAATTTCAACCGTTAGATGAAGACTTTTCCCGGATGATGAGATATATCTGGACCGTTGGATGGATCTTTCGCTGACCAAAGACAAAACTGTTGAGATTCCTTCGTCTTTTTTTGTGTACTTTGATTTTTGTACCGTGTCATGACCGGCACGTGCCACTACAGATTCTAAAAAGAGGTCTTTGGTAACGTTAATAAGAAAGAAGTAATAGAATAAAAGAAATATGGATCTAGAAACTGGAACGTTGGGCCAATATTTGACACAAAAATTATACTAATTATTATATTTATTTAGCTCTTAATAATGGCGGGAACGAATTTATTATTTGCACATTCATGTCCTGCATCATAATTGAAAATGAAATATAGTGTGGCGTACTAATATTTGTACATATTAGTACCTGAGGCCCAAAGGGTATTTATAGCTTGTGTATTAAGTCCATAAACCGGCCCATGACACTTGTATCTCCCGTGAAGATTGTTTCTTCCTTAAAAGATTGGGCCTCATAATTAGAAGGGAACGACAGGTAACTGAATAGAACCGTTCTGAACTGACCAACCTCAAACCTGAATTTACACTAAACCATTCGGTTAGGTTTCTTTTCAACTCAAATAATTTGGTTCGGTTTGGTTCAGTTTGATTCGGTTACTGAACAGAACCGAACCGAACACCAAATGTATTTATTATTAATTAATTAATAATATGTAAATATGTAATTCTATCTAGTACCCACATTGCATTTGCCATTTAACATGTTTGATTTTTTTTTCTGTTTTCTAATAAACTAATTAACGTAAAACTGAATTTAATTATCTTTTTTTTTTTGAAATTTAATGCTAAATTATATTCAAGAAAAAATAAACTTGTTTACACTTCAGTGCATACTGTTTTTAAAAAAAATCATAAATAGGAACAAAGAGATGAGATTATCTTTGTTGCTTTGATTCGAACCATACTTGGATGCCTCCTGCATATTTGAGATCACCTCCACTCCTAATTGTGCTTAGCCGGTTTCAAACGTTTTGATCAATCATTTTTACCAGCCTCTCACATGGGGATGGGTCTTCGCCGTGTCGTCTGCAGTTTCGTTCTCTCCAAATGGAATGAATAGCGTTATGAAAGATGTACCGTAGAATGAAGCACTTTGTCTTGTCTAGGCCATTACCGTTGATCAGCTTGAGCATGTCCTTCCAATTTGCTGTAAAATTAGTGACGAGAATTCCTTTTGCGATTGTTTGCCATACCTGAAGAGAAAAAGGACATATGAAGAACAGATGTTCCCTTGTCTCTGTATGATGTTGGCAAAAAATGCAGCTTGAGTTTGCTTGTCTGTTCCATTTAATCATCTTATCCCCTATTGCGAGTCTGGTTTTTGCAACTAGCCATGTAATGAATGAGTACTTAGGAGTGGAGTGGGAAAACCAGATTCCTTTGTAGTCTTCCATATGTGGCCGTGAGGTTCGTATCTGCATCCACGGCTTAATTATCTTTAAAGAGTAAAGCCGTAAAGACGTCAAAGATTTCCACAAAAAAAACAAAAAAATGCTTTCATATCACGACAATGAATTTTCGTTTTGTGTTTACATAGTTAATTGGTATTTTTGAACAGAATAAAAATCAAACCGAATTAAAACAAACCGAACCGAACATAAACCAACCCGAACACAAATCAAACCAAACTAACTTCGCTTGAATTTGGTTATAGTTTTTCGAAAACCGAATTAAATGAACCAAACCAAACTTAAATCAAACCCAAACTTCAACCGAAATGTCCATCCCTAATGAGAAGGATTTACCATTGAGGGATTCAAGATAGAATGGGAATTAGGGATGGCAGATCCATATATTCTGAAATTTTATGGTATCATGATCCGGATTCATCATACAATTATCTGGATTGGATCTCAATCTTAGATATGGATAATAGTTTCACTTTAATGGAAAGTGAAAACTACCCAAAAATATATCTCTTCCATTTAAGTTTAAATAATGCTTTAATTTATAATAAGTATCGTTTTAAATTTCAATACAAAATTTTATAAAAGGCTAAATTTTTCTCCTGATAAGCATAGTATTGATGAAGTGCATTTGCTATTAGCTGAATTGAGAAAGTTTAGAAGAGCTATAGGGTATTCTCTTGATGATATTTATGGAATTTCACATAGTCTATGCACTCATAGAATCTTGAAAATGAATCATATTCCAGAAATCTTCGACCCGTGAGCCCATGTCGCTCTCAACTACTGGCCCTCTAACCCACATCAACAGCGGTTCTTCCAATAATCACTTGTCCGACCAGAACAATCCATCCCCATAAACCCACCCTAATCCTCTGGACACCACCTCGCGTAGGCCCATGCCTATATTGCGCAATGTCGACGATCAAGTGTCCCTCGATACAGTTCATGATTTATCACGAACATCATTTACCTTGTATTTGCTCTGTAAGTTTCATTATTATTATACAGACAATACATAATTTCTTATATTTTACTAAACTAGAACTTTTGTTACCAAACCGAATACACCATATACATCTATTAATAGTCCGTCAATATATACTAAAATATATCATATTTGTTTAGATTTTTACCCGATTAATCATATTTATTAGTTTTTTACCCGATTTGAACTGAACCGAAATCAAATCCGAATGTTGTTCAAAATCCAAAGATTAAAAATATAAAAAATATATATATAAGCGATAGGTCTAAACAATGATCCAAAAATCTATTTATATCTAAGTAAAAACATTCCAGTACTTGGTTGCAAATAGGGAAGTCTTCTGGGGCGATTCTGTAATTCTTTAAAACTTGTTAAACTCTTGAGACTTCTCTGGGTCATGAGAGGTGTCGATTGACACAAAGGGTGGTGTCAATCAACACTCACACCATGATTCGGCTGATGATTCATTTCTTCAGCTTAACTATTTTGGTTTCCCTCCAAAATGCTCAATTATCTTCAATCCAGTCTCGATCGTGTAAAAACCTGAAGAAAAAAAAAGACAAAAAAAGACTCAAGAAAAAAAAAACAAAAAGACTCTATAATTAAAACATATCATGGTATAAAACCGTAAAACCCATGATATAGCAGTTATACTTTGGACCTTTTTCAATATCTGAAACCCTAAAAATTTGAACAAACAAACTAATGTCCATATTGTTATAAAAAAACTATAATATTAATATGTATATGTATATAAAATCTATACTAGTATTTTTGAAGTACATTTTTAGCGGATGGACAAAATGCATTTGGATACAATGGGTATCCAACCCGTTTACAAATTTTGGTCACAAAAAGTTTGTTGGTTCGGGTTATATTTAACCTAACTCATACACCGGATATTTCATATGTAATAATTTAGATATTTAGAAGATTTGATTAAGATTTTAGAATTATGATTCTCCTATCATCTTTATTTGATTTGTCTTTAACTGTTTTGAATCATCATATATGTGAGGTCCTAGCCCATGATGGGCCTAACCAACCCAAATAACACAAAAACCTAAATGCGTATGTATATATGTACATATCTTCATCTCCACTGCAGCCTCCCTCAGGTCATCATCTTCATCAATTCATTTCTATCATAAGAACACCAAAACATCTGGATCCTTAGCCACCATCACCATTGACATTGAGTTCGGAGCTGTTGGTGCGTGTGGTTTCGTTTTTGATCACGTCCAAGTGCGGAGAGGAATCTAACGTCACGGATCATCACCGTTAAGCACCGGGTTGATAAGGTGAGTAAAACCTATCATGGCTACATTTAATCCTACTCTAATTGTCTCCTTAAGCCATTGAATTTGTGGCTTATGTACCAATTTTTGGGTTTTCTTGTGAAGGAGTGAAAGAAGAAAAAAGTGTCAAGTAGTAGCAGAAATCCAGAAAACCCTAACCAGATTTCTGATTTGTTTTCTTGCGAAGGAAGTTATCAGGTCTTGAGTCTTCTCCCAACCGTTAGTCGCAGTTTCTTGGTGCTTTTCCAATCAATTGAGTTGAGGGTGGTATTTAAGGCATGATACCATTTTCTTTTGTTATGCTCCATGACTTGTGGCATATAGGGTTGGATTTGATTGGTAAGGATTAGATTATGTGATGTTATGATTGAGATTTATGTTAATGTTTGATGGTGATATTTGGTAATGTTATGACAAGTATGTAGGTATTAAATGTGAGGATTTATTTATGAGTATGTATGTATGAGAATGATTTAGGTATGGACAGTGATGGGCTGACGGGTTACATGCTGGTCAAGAAAGACTGACGAGCCCGGTATGCATAGGAGTGTCTGAGCCATGAGGGCCAGCCTCCACTCATGAGGTTCTAGTCATCACGAGGATGACTGGACCTAACGATACGTATGTGTGTGTTAGTATGGATAAGATTATTGTTATGAATTGTTGTTAGAAATTAAAGCATGTCAGGTTGATTGCTTGTATCTAAGGTTGTGTGTTATGATGATTGTTGTATAGCTTTAGAAAGTGTTTTATGTTTCACTCACTGAGTATTCTTTACTCACCCCCTTTTTCCCCTTTTTTTCCAGGTGAAAAAGTTGCTGAATAGCTGCTCAAGCTTGTCTCTCTTCGTGGTGTACTTTGGGATTTGGGTTTCAATTTCGTTAATGCAAAACATGGTTTAATTTTAAAGTTCTTTAGTTGTTTTCATGAAATTCGAATGATGCTTTAGACGAGTTATTATTACGGTTTTAATAAGATCGGTTCCTGAATAAGAT